TAAAGCATCACAGCTGTTTTCTACATTAATACTGATTTCTGAAGGATCACGTGACACTGAAGACCAACGGCTGCTGAACTACAGCTTTTCCATTACAAGAATAAATTACATTTTAAAATATATTAAAATAATTATTTTAACTTGTAATATTTCACCATATTACTGTTTCCCCCCCAAAATAAATAAATAAATAAATTCAAAATAAATGCAGTCTTTGTGAACATAGACTTCTTTCAAAAATATTTTACAAATTCTTACAGCCCCCAAATGCTAGAACAGTGTATATGCATTCAAATTCAACGATTCAGTATCTGGATGATATAATCTGGCCAAAGTCTGTGCTTCAGTTTACCAAAAAAAACGCCTGTTATTTTGGAAAGTATCTGTAGATGTGTGTAAGTGTTTGTTGTACCTTGTTCTAAATACTCCAGACTCTGTTTCTGTCGCTTTAAGATGGTGCACATGCGCCCCAGTGCGGCCCGTTTCAGCTGCTTGCAGCGATACAGCGAGTCTCCATATTTCATCAGACGCACATAATCTTTAGCAACACTACAAATGCAGACACACAGTTTTACTCAGTTAAATGAACTGCAAATACCCACAGATGAGACAAAAAAAAAAATCAGCCAACATATTTAATTAAATCAACCACAAATTAATGTTAAAAAGTAATGTGCATGATGTTGATCAATTCAACAGACTCACTTGTCAATAAGGTTCTTGGCGATGTTGATCTGACCCAAAGCCAGCTTAAAATGATCTTTATCATACAGCACATTCATCAGATCAGCATAGAAGGGGTGAACATCCTGAAACACAGTTAGTCATTTATCTACTAAACAAGTGATGACTACGAAGATTCAACATATATGACCTTTATCCCATGCATATAGTTTTGTGTGACTTACGTCCAGTTTGGGAAAGTCGGTGAGGATCTGTGACAGTCGATCATGGTAGTTCTGCTGGGTGAATTTGACTTTGCGCATATAGAAATGTCTAATTCGGTGGATCTGATAGTGTTTGTGTATTACAGTGGGAGTTTTTCGCTGGGTTTTGGATAAAGTTATATCTATGAAATCCTACAGGGAGAAAATCAAACAAATAAACAGTTATGCTAGTTTACTCTTGCTTAATTATTATTACTTTTTTTAATAATAAAAAGTTTCAAGTTCCCATACTGAGAGACACCAGGGTTCCCACATATATTGACAAATGACATCCCATGACTTTTCTGTGATTTTTCCAGAATTAATGACTACTTAAGGATTTTATATAATAATTATATAACAAACACAACAATATTATTATTATTTTTTTTGTTTTTTTACAAAGGCTGCACTTACATATCAATCTTAAGACAGTGAAATACAACTAGAAAAAATATTTTCTGAATTTCACTTATATCTGCATTTTCCAGGAATGGAAGGGAAATACTATTAAATTTCAAGGTTTTCCATGTTCATGGGAATCCTGGTACAATGATATCAAATGTATTTAACCAAAGATCTTAAGCACATTAATATATTTCATCCCTCTAACGTTACAGATGTTTAAACCCCACTACCACTCGTTCTTCATTTTAACATATGACGCTAGTAAAACCATGTTGAATGTTGACAGTAAATAAAATTACAATATATGAAAAGTTAAATGCCTCAACACCGCGCGCACGTGTGTACAATACAAGCAACATACTGTCAATGCCCGTTATTTACGCCAACACCAATAATAATTTTTTATAACATTTAACCCTGCATATGCGAGTAAAAACACGCCGATGTTTTCCTACCTTAGCGGTGGGAACCACCATAATCTTTTTAAAGTTGTACAGAGCCATGATCGCGGCACACGCGACTGTCTACAGAGCACGCGGAAAGGACAAAACACGTAGCAGACGCATGTCAAGAAGAGCGACACACGTGGTACAGCGCTGACGAGTTCACAGCGTCACCTACTGGTGGGAGGAGCCACTCTGAAACTGGAACTGCAGAACCAAGTCGTAAAAAGATTAATACAAGCGCAGTTTTTAAGCAAAACATTTCACACACACACAAAGTTTGTTAGGAATTAAATGATAAAACTTATATTTATTTTTCATAACTATGAAAAAAAGATAAACCTGATAAACTCCAGATAAACATGGAATTAATGTTTCATGTGAATCCAGAGACATTTTCCCAGAATCTGGACATGACACTAAACAAATACTAGGTTCAACTACATTAACTGCACATTTAGTTCTACAGGATGAGTGTGGGTTCAGTGCCAAACATTCAAGTCACCTTTATTCAAAGGGCAATGATAATTTTGCAATCGTTTTCTTGCCTGCCTTAAACAGTCCAAAGCAGTGTTATATATTCAACTAAAATGATATTGTTCAAATGACTGCATTTGTTGTATTCAGCATAAACCTGTTAAAACAACAACATTCCAAAACATAAAATCACAGCACACAATCAAAATCTTTTTTTTTCTTCAAATCCTTTATTTGTACAAGTAAACCAAAACAGTTAATAAAGAATTTCTCCAGGTTTGCCTCTGATTATCCAAACCTTCAAGTAACTTCAAATAAATAATTGTATCAATGTGTCTTCTGTTCGCAAACAGAGCACAGTAACATAGGAAGGGTCGGGGAAAAAGAGGGAGAGGCATATGAAACACTGTTTCCTCAGCAGTAGTTCAGTACTCGTGTGTATTCTGCTCTGTTTCTATTGAAGTCCTGCAGTGATCAGGAATGAAGCTGATTTCTGCACAGAGCTGGTGTTGACAGTTGTATTACCATCAACACCACTAATACTGGCTCAATTTCAGCGCGAACAGAACACCATCTACAGGGACGTGAGAGCATGTTTTCAGGAGTGTACATGATGTGTGTGAACATGAGATGACGTGTCTCCTATATATGTTGTATTTGTGCACATGTTATTTACTAAGATGTCTGCTTACGATCATGACCAACTGAAGGAAACATTTTGAATACTGATATGATGCACAAAAGTCAGAAGTTATGGAAAAAGACACAGAAAACCTAACAGGTGTGTACACTGCACCAACTGTTGCAAAAACACCGTCATTGTAGGACTAACAAGCTAAACATTTAATACAGCACACAAGATAAAACAGCTGAAAAATAAATGGAACAAGGTGGAGTCAAAAGAGTGGGTGGGGTTTAAAGTCTGGGAGGGGCCACTGATTGTGTGGAGTCAATACTGTGGGAGGAGTTTACACTCTGGGCGTGGTAAATAAATATAGTTGTTAGAGAGGTTGTTTTAAGGGAGTGGTTTGAAGTTTGGGGGGCTAATGTTATTCAGGAGTCAGAGCGAAAGGAGGAGCTTACATTGTGGGTGGAACTGAAATTGTTGGCATGGAGGTTGTTTTAGGGGAGGAGTTTGAAGTTTGGGAGGGGCCACAACTTGTATGAGTCAATATTGTGGGAGGAGTCTACACTCTAGGAGTGGTCAATATAGTTGGTAGATATGTTAGGCTTGTTCGACTTCATGCAGCGCCTCAAAGATCGAAATCAAAAGCAATGCATTCTGGTTAGAAAATTTGTCCGACTTTGATTGGTGCTGCAGTCGCCTTACAATAACATGTGCCATCAAAGTACTGCGAGAGCAAAACAAGACCAGCTGCCTTGGTCAGGTGCTGCAGTTGCTCAAAATCGGCTGCGAAAGCCTTGATGATGACACACTTTATTCTCATTGGTCAGACTCTGTGATGACAAGGACAATGTGTGTTTCGGGTTTATTCTAACAATTCAATTCCAATAATGCTCACAAATCTGTGTTTTAACAGTAAAAGCTTTTTTACTTTAGTCGCACTGTTATATTGGGTAACATTTATCAAAAAACACTGATAAAAGTAAACCTACTTTATTGGTATTTAAATAGTATACGTTTATGTTGAACTTTATTTATTCATGGGAGGGGTTTAAAGTTTGGGAGGAGCCAATGTGAAGAAGGTGTGTTCGATGTGAAGCGCTGCTGTACAGACCAATTGGTGAATGACATCAAAGTACCATGAGAGTGGTTTGAAAGCATATGTAGCGGTCTGCACTCTATAGCTCTCGTGGTACTTTGATGTCGTACACCAATCTATCTGTCGAACACATCTGAAGTCAGTACTGTGGGAGGAGTTTACAGTCTGGGTGTAGAAAAAAATGGTTGGTATGGAGGTTTTTTTTGGGGGAGGGGGCTAAAGTGATTTAGGAGGAGCCAGTGCGATGGGAGGAGTTTGCATAGTAAAGTTTGCAGTCTCTTTCCCTTCACTGTTGAAAAATGGATGAATAAATGAGGTAAACAAGTACATGTATCTGTCTGCTGTACAGGAGAAGCAAGAGAGTATGTGCACAACTAACACTATAGGTAACTAGATGAGATGACTATATGTGTTTGAGTATGTTTGTATTTGTATGTGATGATGAACAGAGGTATTCATCCTGCTGAGGTATTGTCAAAAAAGTTTTATTACCAATCAGTGCTTCACAAAAATCCTGTGATAATGTGTCTTTTAAGTGTGTCTGTGTGTGTGTGTGTGTTTAAAAAAAAGGCACCAGCAATGGCTATAAGCGGTGTGGTATGTTACCATTTACATAATCGGCCGTCATAATCATATGATGTTTCATGCATGTGTATGAGCAAGTATGTGTGTGCGTGTGTGTGTGTATGGCTCCAGTCCTCACACCGCCACTTTTTCAAGTGACCGTATGGGCGGAGTTATTGCTTTCAGGCCATTGCCAGGGCAGCTGTTACCACGGCTAAGGGCGTGTCCAGTTGGCATTGCAGCGTGGGAGTGTTCTGGCAGGCGTGGCAGGAAGACAGGACAGGAGCGTGTGCGGGCATGGCCTTTGTGACCTCCTGCGTGACAGATGAGGTGGCTTACCGTGTCCAGCGGGGAAAGCGTGTGTGCGTGCGTGTGTGTGTGCGTCTGCTCCTCGCGCCGCTTCAGCGAATACCAGGTGAGAAAGATGAACAGGAAGCCCAGGAACTTCAAGCTCGCCGCCAGCCCAAAGTAAACAAAGCGGAGGGAAGTGACATCGTACTCCCAGCAGGACCCATGGAAACCACAATCCTGCTGCCACAGCATACAGGTGGTGTCAATCACAGCTCCAAAATAGATAGGAGTGGGGATGTAGGCTGGAGAGACAGAAAGAGAGAATATCAAAAATTGTTTAAATATTCATAATTTTAACAACTAATTGATTAAAAGGGCTGGGAGAAAAAATATTAGATTATTTTTAGATGTCTTTCGTTTTTTATGTATACTACCATTCAAAGGTTTGGGCTCAGTAAGTTTTGTTTTTAAAGAAATCTTTTTTTCAATGAAATTTTTTTTTATTTTTTATTATTCAGCAAGGACATGTTAAATTGATCAAGTGTTAGTAAGGACATTTATAATGTTACAAAAGGTTTTCATTTCAAAGGGATGCTGTTCTTTTTAACTTTCCATACATCAAAAAATCCTGGAAAAAAATTTTATTATGGTTTCCACAAAAATCTTAAGCAGAACATCAGTTTTCAACATTGTTGAAACATAATAACATTGTCAACATAATAATAATGTTTCTTGAGCACCAGATCAGCATATTATAATATTAGTTATTTTAAAATGTAATAATATTTCAAAATATTACAGTTTTTCTGTATTTTTGTATCATCAACCTTTTAATATATGAAAAATGCCACAGTGAGATTTCACTGAACACTTTTGAATGAAGGCGCATATGAATCATTAAATCAGAGTTTTGAATCACTGAATGAAGCAGCTTATATTTTATGATGCTATTATAACATCTTGGTTTTAATACTCTTCCAAGTCATGAGCCAAGAAATGATAGTCTTCTGAGATGGTCTTCGGGAAATGTAATGGCCAAATAAAAAGAGCATTCAAATCCAGCTTAATCCTATATTGCCAGCAAATCAATCCTGAACATATGATGAATATTCAATATTTGCTCAGATTTATTGGACAGTCAAAAAAATGATGAATTCAATAAAATCCGTCCAATCCTACCAAGAGTCCTGAGAAGAACAAACTGCATTCCCAGAGCAAACGGCCTGTCCTCTTCCTCCACTGACCTGCTCAGGAAATAAAAGAGGAATGAGTAAAACAAAGAGATACAGAGAGAAGATAGCGGAGTACACGGAGAGAAGCAGACCTGAGCGTAACGATGATGATGGACGGCTGAGCGCAGGCGGTTATGAGAGTGACGATGAAGAGAAAGATGAGGAAGGTGATGAGCGTTCCACATGTGTGCTCACACTTTCCTACCAGTGCATAACCGTTCTCGTTTAGGTACGTCTTCACAATCACCACCTGCAGATCATGGTTTCCTCCCGACGGCGTGATCACCTGTCTGCTCTGAACGCATGCGCAGTCCGAATAGTTTCTGATCTGAGAGGGAGAAAACACGTTACGATACACATGAAAAATGTCAACAATACTGACAGAGACTATTTTTTTCAGGTGGTTAAATTTTTAGGCTACCATGAAAAATGTTGGTATCTTAAGCCAGTGACTCTCAAAGTGGGGTGTGGGGTCCACGACTCATAGCCAGGGGGTCCAGAAATTATTTTAGGACCCTATGATTTTCGCGAATGTGGAAAATGTGTGACTGAAATACAAAATGCAGTCAAAAAACTTAATAGTTGTATGAATTCAACTGATTAGACATTTGATTTTTGATTATTAAAATTGAATTAAACCTTTATTGAATCCAGAAAAATTAAAATGGAAAACACTAAATTTGGGAACAATAAAATTGAATTTGAGAAAAAATAAAATAACTTTCATATGGCCCTAAAAATTACATTTTTGTTAGACTCTTAATAAATAGTTGTTAAATTCTATAAGTTGGATGATTTCAATAAGACATGCTTTCTGATTACTAGTTTAATTTAACCATTAACACAAAGTCCAGAAAGATGAAAATGGACAAAAAAACAAAAAACAAAATCCAAAATCTAAGAGTTACAAATTGTAGCAAGCATATGCTTAATCACTGTAAACAGCTTTTATTTTAAAGTAACAAAACATGCAATCAGTTGGGCATTACAGCAAAATAAACCCCAACATGGTTTTGTCAAGCCCTGGATTCGCTGTTGATCTACATTTCAACTGACCACAGACCTCGTTTTAAAAACTCTTGATTAAAAATGACTCACTCCTGAGGTTTGGTTGGCGATGTTGCTGCAGCCAGCCAGACATGGGTTAAAGTAGGTGATGCCATCAGAGCCACAGACAGGCGCATACTCATGAATCCTGCAGCCACAGTTGACGTTACAGCTTCCCGTCAGGTTTCGGTGAGACAGAGTCAGCGTCGGCCTGCAAAATACAGATGGAACATCATTCAGTGCGGCTCATGTTTCCAGGTGATATTTATGTACGGGTCTACAGGGTTTTACTCCATTACCCGGTGGTGTAAGGGATATTGATTCCACCGAGGTTGATGCTCTCGCAGCCGACAATGAAGAGAGTGGAAAAGCAGAGCAAAGACACGCCACTGCAGATCATGGCCAGCTTTGCTGCTTCTCTTGCACCAAGCTTCAGCTTCTTAATGATGTACCCACCTAAAACTATACCGACACCTGCACTGGGTACGATGATCAGACCTGCACACACAAATTCACAATTAATAAACACCCAGTGAGTACTGTGATCAGATCGACACATGTTTGTGTCAGTGTGAGTGTGTGTTGTACCTGTGTATATACTGGCATTAGATGCTGGAACAAGACAATGAAGAGAGTGGAAAAGCAGAGCAAAGACACGCCACTGCAGATCATGGCCAGCTTTGCTGCTTCTCTTGCACCAAGCTTCAGCTTCTTAATGATGTACCCACCTAAAACTATACCGACACCTGCACTGGGTACGATGATCAGACCTGCACACACAAATGCACAATTAATAGACACCCATAGTGAGTACTGAGATCAGATCGACACATGTTTGTGTGTGTGTTTGTGTTGTACCTGTGTATATACTGGCATTAGATGCTGGAACACCAAATTGAGATTCAATAAATTTGGGAATGAAAGTGATGAAGGCTGTGACGATGGCACATTCCGCCGTATACGACAAACTCACAAATAAAAACGTCACATTACTCAATATACGCACTGCTGCTTTTGGCAGATCTGGAGAGAGGCAGAAACAGACAGAGAGAGAAACAAGACAGATTTATAGAGTGGAAAAGCAGAGCAAAGACACGCCACTGCAGATTATGGCCAGCTTTGCTGCTTCTCTTGCACCAAGCTTCAGTTTCTTAATGATGTACCCACCTAAAACTATACCGACACCTGCACTGGGTACGATGATCAGACCTGCACACACAAATTCACAATTAATAAACACCCAGTGAGTACTGTGATCAGATCGACACATGTTTGTGTCAGTGTGTGTTGTACCTGTGTATATACTGGCATTAGATGCTGGAACAACAAATTGAGATTCAATAAATTTGGGAATGAAAGTGATGAAGGCTGTGACGATGGCACATTCCGCCGTATACGACAAACTCACAAATAAAAACGTCACATTACTCAATATACGCACTGCTGCTTTTGGCAGATCTGGAGAGAGGCAGAAACAGACAGAGAGAGAAACAAGACAGATTTATAATTTGATTTCAAATGTGTCATCCAAAATGTGTTCATACTAAAAATCAGTGTTGTTATTGTTAACTAAAACTAGTAAAAAACTATATTCGTTAACTGAAATAAGTAATCTGGAGTACTGAAATTAATAAAACTGAAATAAAAATAAAGTTAATATGTGACCCTGGACCACAAAACCAGTCTTAAGTCGCTGGGATATATTTGTAGCAATAGCCAAAAATACATTGTATGGGTCAAAATTATTGATTTTTCTTTTATGCCAAAAATCATTAGGATATTAAGTAAAGATCATGTTCCATGAAGATATTTTGTAAATTTCCTACTGTAAATATATCAAAACTTAATTTTTGATTAGTAATATGCATTGCTAAGAACTTCATTTGGACTACTTTAAAGGCAGTTTTCTCAATATTTAGATTTTTTTTGCACCCTCAGATTCCAGATTTTCAAATAGTTGTATCTCGGCCAAATATTGTCCTATCCTAACAAACCATACATCAATGGAAAGCTTATTTATTCAGCTTTCAGATGATGTATAAATCTCAATTTTGAAAAATTTACCCTTATGACTGGTTTTGTGGTCCAGGGTCACATTTATATATAACTAATGAAAAAGACAAAAGCACTTAAAATGAAAACTAAATAAATAAATATATATATAATACTAAAACAACACTGCTATTAACAAAGAAATTAATAATATAAATTCAAGATAAAAAAACACCAGACAGTTCAGGGATGCCAAGTTAAAGGAATATAGTTTAAAAATAAATATTAAATAAAATAAAATAGCCATGTCCATCTTGCTAGCCATTACTAAAACCCAAATCTTAGCTGTGTCAAATATCTAGTGTGACATCATACTTCAAAGATGATCTGATCAGAATTAGATTTTAGATTTGACATTAGGTTTCACCGTTGATATTTTTGCCAAAACCCATAGAGGACGAGACAGCCTGGCTCTTTTCCTTCATAATTTCGTCATCGCTGGAGACATCACCTGCGCCCTTTTTTTACACGTCTTTTACTTTTCTTGTGCCGTGGAGGAAGTTTTTTAGGGAAGGAAAACATGGGGAAGATTACCAACAACATTGCCACAGCACACAGAAGAAACCCACTCCACCTGAGAGAGACAGACACAGAGAGGGTTACAGTGCTGTTAGGTTTACTGCATGTTAATTAATAAACAGCAAACGAGAGACAAGATTTTCCTCACCAGTTTCCCACAAACCGTGGGTCACTCTGATCAATATTGACAATGGTACCGGGGTCGACATAGAATCCGATCAGAATCCCACCCAGCAGATACCCAGCGGCTGGTCCAAGAGCTCCCATTACATACATGATAGCTAAACATGCACAAAACGAGAACAATTCAATTTCTTTAGCTGTCATATGCTACTGTATGTGGTTACAGACTTTGCATGGCAGAATTTAGGTCACATAATTTTTTTAGAAAGTAGAAAAAAAAAAACGTGTTAACCACCAGGCTAAAAGGCACTGTTGTGGACAAAACCTAATCTCAATTGTGGCTTCCTGTCAAACACATTCATGTCATACTCAGACACGCACATATATACTCTTATTATTGACTGGTACAAACAGCTAATATTTGCAATTTTGAGATTATCAGCATGGACTGTTACCATGTCCACTTAGCTAATTATAAATGTCAGTTCCAAATGTTGATTTTCTGTTTAAAAATGTTAAATGTTCTGGGTATGAAACCTGAAGCAAATCTTCTAAAATATTGTTCCATGCATATACAGAAGTAGTAAGACTAACACACCGATGAGTCCACATTAAATCAAATCAGATTATCTAAGATTGTTACTGCACAGACTCTGTCTTAGTTTTGTTATTGTTAACATAAAACTAAAACTATACAAATGTATCTATTCATAAATAGATCAAACCTATTCATAAGTGATAGAGTCTCTTCAGAAAATTACCTACTAAATTCATATGGATTACTTTTATGATCTATTTAATATTAACTTTTTGAAGCGACAAAGTAATGGTTGCGTAGATCTCATGTAAGAAAAAGCATGGCCCCAAGCGACACTTTACCTGATTGACTGACCCAGCCATTCAACAACACACAGACAAAGCCTCACTTCGACTCACCCAGGTACAGGGATGCGTTCTCTTTCTTCACATTGTCATCCAGGTAAGTTGGTCCAAGGGTGTATATGGGAGTCGATCCCATTCCCACGAGGATCTGAGCGCAGATGAACAGCGCCACGTACAGGGCATGCTCACTCTCCTCCCGGTCCCGCTGGCACCTGGACAGTGCTGGCCTCTCCTGCCTGCTGCCACTCCCGCCAGCACAGAGCCCCTCTCCTCCTACTGTGCTGTTCAGCTCCTCCAGCTGATATGGCGGAGAGATGAAGTGAGGTAGGGAGAAGAGGGCGGCACCCACAGCAATGAACACGCCTCCTACAGCCAACCACCGAGGCCTCTGGCCCCGCCCACCGAAGTAGCTGATGAACACCACAACGAGGAGACTACCGATGTCAAAACAGCTGACCAGAAGACCTGACTCTGAGCTCCGCAGACTGTACCGCTTTTCTGGAAAACAGGATTCGTTTAGTATAAAATTCATAAATATATTATGAATATATGTTGAAACAGAATATGGTTTGAGTTGAGATATTATTTATAGAGGAGGGGATGAGACTGAGAAGAGATTAAGATGAGATGAGGTTGAGAAATTATAGATTGGAATGTGATGAAACAAGAGAGATGCTGAGAGGAGAGCAGATTTAAATTAGAAATTTGAGATTGGGGTGAGATGAAAGGAGACTAATGAGACAAGATTGAAATGCTTTTAAGAGGAAGAGATTAGGATGAGATCAGATGAAACAACATGAGAAATAAAGAGATGAGACCGAAATGTTATTAAGAGGAGATGAGACTGAGATAATATTTAAAAAATTGGAGTTTGTTATGAGATGAAGACTGTAAGGAGGTTGGGATGAGAAGAGATAACATGAAACTCTGGATGAAGACATGAGACTGAAATGTTACTGAGAGAAGGCAAAGTTGGTATGATATGGAGATCAAGAGGAGGAAACATGAAAAGAAGTTAAGAGATTATATTCAGAGTAGATGATATCCAGGGTCGGGAAGTACATTTAAAATACAAAATATGAGTAACTGTATTTCATTAGTTTCATTTTAAATGGGTGGTAATCAAATTACAGTTACATCCGAAAAGTACTTTAGATTACCAAACTGATTACTTTAAATTTTATTGTCATTTATTTCGTTTAAACTTTATTGTAAACTGTAACAGGCAATTAGTATCAACAGCAATTGATTTTCTGACGCATCCTAAGCTACAGTTCTGCTCATTAGTTTTATACTCCTTGCAGAATTTGCAAAATTGTAATCATTTTAACAAAATGATGATGTGTACATTTTTCTTATTTTGTTTAAAGATCTTTTTCTTTTTCCATTTAGTGCTGCCCTTCAGAAACTAATACCCATTTTCATTTCAATTCGACACATATTCACCAAAACAACACACTGGCTCGACGGTCGACCTGTAGCCGGGGGCTCACGCGCCTCTGCGCGGATACTGCAGCGCGCGCGCTCGGCCGCATCACACGCGCATTCCGACCCGTTATCTGCGCTAGATTAAGAACCACGATTAACGTTAATTCCATTGGCGCCGTTAAACGGTATTCTGTCACCTCCCTCTGCACGCGGCTCCGACACACCATCAGATCTTCGCCGTGTGATCAAAATATCCTTGTCCTTGGACGGAGGGGTAGCACGGGTTGTCCGTTATTCACGGTATCGCTGTCAGCTGTATCGCCTCCAAGCGCATTCGGTCTGTACCCATAGACTGTACCGCAGCGGGTGCAAGTAAATAATCGTTAACTTCCGGTTCACGATTCCTCTGTCAAAAATGGGGCTGCACCACCCCAGTCTGTATTTTAACTCTTTCATGCAGTAAGAGCAAATACTATTTTCCTCTAAATCCAAGGGAAATTTTTTTAAACCTTTTTTAAAGATTAATTTAATTAAAAATGAATTTTAAATGAAAGCTTATAATACACAATCATAACAAACGCTTTTAGGCTGGCTGAAACAATGCCCTCTACTGACATATAAAGAAATAAGGCAACATTTTAGAAAACAACAATCCGTCAAACCATGATCATTTATTTCAATAATTTTTTTTAAAGATATTTGCACATTCATGATGAACAGTGATTTAGCAGAACATAATTAGTCAATGAAATGCTTCCAACATCAAAATCCCGCAGGGATGTACAACATTTGAAATGATTAAATGTTACAAATTAAAGAGACTTGATATTTTTATCTCATTAAATAATTACAGCTATAGACATAATATAATTCCAGTTATATCATTAGCCTCATAAAAGTTGCTTTATTTTACTTTTATTTACATGTTATTGTACAGTCTCTCATGGAATAAATTATTTTTTGCTATTGTTTTCATGTGATGCTACATTCATCAGATGGCAGTATATGTCCAAAACAACAATAACATTTCACAGGATTACAAAGGTCATTACCTTTTACATGTTTTCCCATTTTATGAATGGTTTTGTATTGCATGATTTATACTGTTTAAATGTGGCCATTTGTAAGGCACTTACAAAATGTGTCTGCTAAATAAATGTAAATGTTAATAGCCTCCTATCAGAGCAGGTTTTCACAGAAGGTCAACATTTGAAAAAAGTGACTAGTCCCAGTGTCCCTTTAAGTCCATCTCACTTCACTGGGAACCTTTTATTAGTCACTGTGGGTGATGAGTGTGCTGGGAAAAAAAAGTCACAAATTGCTCTTCCACTTCTTGTCATTTGAGCCTTCAGCTGCAAGGAAACAAAAATTAACGTTAACGCAGGCAGGCAATAGAGCACAGGTGCACACACAGACATGTGCACACACACACACATACCCAGGCAGATCTTTCCTTCCTTGTGGAGTTTCTTTAAATGGTGCAGCAAGTTAAACTCTGCTGCTCTGTGCAGGTGTTCAGGGGTCTCCTGGCATATTACAGACAACATAAAAAAACACATGAAAATCATGTTTACACAGTTTAGAAAATAATAACTTAACATTTCTATAAATAATGTACTCTAATTCTTCGCACATTGTCTGATAAAGCAGTCACTACTTAAAAAGAACCAACAAATGTAAAGTTAACTTCACATACAGAGGGGAACAAGTGTCTTGAGAGCACTGGTGAAAATGTGTTTCTTTTGCATTTTTAGGATTTCATACAAATATTTTCATTGCAATGTGCATTATCAGCATAACAAACTGAGGGAAATTTGAATTTATAAAATAAACATGACTTTCAGAATGCCATGTGTAATATTTGGATTGTCCCACGTCTGAAGAAAGGAGTTCACAAAATCACATATTTGCTTTTATGATCTAGAAAAAAAAAATTAATTAATTTGAAAAGGTTCAATGCCTTATACTTTTGGTCCCCACTTTATATCTGTTGTTTTATTTTCTCTCCTTATGGATTGCAGGTTTGACACTGTTATTAAAATTTAAATACTACAAATGCAAATGCTTTTTGATTCAGTCTAATTAAAGCGTTAAGATCATTTAGAAAAGAGCTGAACCTTGTACACCACTTTAACCAGCTCGCTGGAGGTGAACGCATTTCCGCTGTTCTCCTGCAGAACGTTTAGGATCTGCTGTTCTCTTGCGTTGCGGTGAGTTATGTACTCACAGATCTTAGAACATGCATCTTGGACCACTGGACCATGACCTGACACACAAATACACAAGCATTTCTTAGTGTCACCAAAAATTTTAGGTAGAAAGCACTCTGAAAAGAAAATGATCATCGCACATGCACTCACCTGGATATATGAGGTCAGCCTTCATGCTGAGGAGCTTCTGCAGTGACTTCATGTAATCATGGAGGTCCTCGAACACGGCCGTTCCCTCTCCAAGAATACAGTCACCTGAAAACACAGCTTGCTCCTCCTCCAGCAATAATGCCATGTGATCATCTGTGTGTCCAGGAGTAAACAGCACCCTATGTGCACATACAATATAAAAAAAGCTTATTCAAAGGAAACAACTAACTACTGTTTTTGCATTTATAAATGTACACACTAAAGCCCTATTTGCATGGGATTAGTATTATCTGGGGACCTTGTGTGATTTTGAAATCACACCCCACATCTGAATTTCATGTGGTGCATTCGCACGGGATAAGCGAAGCCTGTGATTTTACTCGAATTTACTGACTTATTTGTAACACATTAACCTCAAAACCTTTTCAGCTTTCTCTTTCTGCAAATTGTAGCGATATGACAGATCCCAAAATACAATCAAACACTTCAACGCAGCTCCATTCTTCGCGAAAGATGGATAAAAACGCGCACAGGAAACAAAAACCTCGAAAAACGATATACGACCCGCCAAATGCTGGCCAAATCACAGAGATGCCGATTCGCACGGGACTAATATTATCACAGGACCTCGGTGTTCGGCGAAATATGGTAGGTAGATCATTTGCGGGGGAATTTTTACTTTACAACTTACAGACATGGCCGATTAAGATCACAGACAACCTCCGCAATTATTACAAATGACTGGAGGTCACCAGGTAATACTAATCCCGTGCAAATAGGGCTTAATTCGACCCACTGCATTTATGTAAATACAGGCTTTCAAGACTCGGGATGCGTGTGAATAAAAATTCTATTTTATTCTACATTACCATTCAAAAGTTTTGGATTAGTATTTTCTTTTTTTAAATAATACTTTTATTCTGCAAGGATGGTTTAAATTGATCAGAAGTCACAGTAACGCCTTTAATTGTCACAAAAGATTTAAATTTCAAGTAAATGCTGTTTCTTTTTAACTTTCTATTCATCAAAAAGTACTTAAAACAATGTAAACAAAAAATTATATACAATATACAAAATATACAATATACAAAAATATTAAGCAGCACAACAGTTTTCAACACTGATAATAATGAGAAATGTTTCTTGAGCTCCAAAAGAGCATATTAGAATGATTTCTGAAGGATCATGTGTGAAGTAAAATTCAGCTTTGCCATCACAGTTTTTCTTTTAAAATATATTAAAAAGAAAATAGTTATCTTAAAGGGGTCATATGATGCGATTTCAAGTTTTCCTTTCTCTTTGGAGTATTACAAGCTGATTGTGCATAGATAAGATCCCTGAAGTTGCAAAGACTAAAGTCTCAAAACCAAAGAGATATTCTTTATCAAAGTTAAGACTCTGCCACGCCCCCCTAAAACGGCTTGTTCTAACACGCCCCCACATATCTACCTCACTATGTGGAAATATTAGCATAATGCCGCCCAAATGTTCACGCAAAGAAAGAAGGCGTGGTTTCAGTAACCGCAGTTAGTGTTGATGCAGCCATGTCAGGGAGACGCTGTGTGTTTCTAGGTGAAAGCAAAAGCACTTTATTTGGCCTTCCGAAAGTAGATGCATTTAGGAATCTTTAAGATTACTTACAACAGAACAGCAATGCATTTTATGGACGACCGTTTCGTGAACCTAGGAGAGGAGGTAATTCTGACTTTGTTATGACAATCTGGCGCTTCTGAATCAGCTACTGTTTTGTTATTAGTTTAAGTATTTGCTATTTACTGTTCAAATGCGAGCGAGCGAGAGAGAGCGTGTGAGAGAGCAAGAGAGAGAGAGAGAGAGAGAGAGAGAGAGAGAGAGAGAGAGAGAGAGAGAGAGAGAGAGAGAGAGAGAGAGAGAGACAGGGTCACATCACAGTGGAGTCAGCTGTCTTAACCGTGGCTTGTGTACTGCAAACACATACTTCATCACTGTGTCTGTCACGTGAGCCCCCTTTTGGGCTGTCTTTACATTTATTTTGAAAGATGAAGCTCGCGATTATGGTAAGGGGCGTTACATTTCTGACGAGTGCTTGCGGTGTTCGCCCAATCACAATGCACTGGGTCAGCTGGCCAATCAGAGCAGACTGCGCTTGTCGGAAGGAGGGACTTTGTAGAAAACGAAGCGTTTGAGAGAGGCGGGGCATAGAGGACCTACAATAATGTACAGTATTTGAAAAATAATGTGTTTTTTGAACATTAAAGCATGTCAACATATTCTGTTACACCAAATACACAAAATAATGATCTTTAAAAAAGCATCATATGACCCCTTTAATATTTCACAATTTTACAACTTCAATCTTGGTGAGCATATAAGAGACTTTCAAAAACATTTTAAAAATCGTACCGACCCCAAACTTTTGAGTTCGACTCAAAAGTTTCCTTAATATGTAAGCATATCATCTACAGAATATATATATATATGTGTGTGTGTGTGTGTGTGTGTTTACCGTAATGTTGCCCCTTCAGTCTTTATCACATCACCATCACTGAGATAGAAATATTTATTCTGTTCTCCAATCACTTCTTCCTGTGGAGGACACCGAGGGAGTTTACTGACCCTCAGCTCTGAATCTGCAACACATGTAGCTACATTAGTGAGGGTTTCTTATATACACCATGGTTTTCATACTAAAATAATGATATTTACATTTACATTATTGGGTAAAGCTGATTTGAGAGCACAAATTCACATATTTATGGCACAAATGTCGAAACCTGTACACAGCATACATATTATTGACCTGTGTGAAAGTTTGAGAGTATATCCTGCAGTCCTCCAGTGTGATCGTGATGCCAGTGTGTGACTATAATGTGCTGTATGGACGTGTCGTGCTGCTTCAGAGCCTCGCGCAGATTGACAATATACTCCGGTACCGCGCGCTCCCCTGCATCAATTAACACTCGCCTGACACAGACAATAAACATTCACACACTTGTTGCGTTCAATGAATAGCTTGTAAGTGGCAAATAGCTCAAACAAGCACATGCATCTCGTGTACCTTCTGCCTGTCCCGACCAGGTATGTGTTGGTGCCCTGCAGTGTCATGGGGCCCGGGTTACAGCCCAAAACACGCACCACTCTCGATGACAGCTGCTCGATACGAGGAATCACCGCGGACATTTTCACCAGGCCCACACAGGCACGCCACGAACTTTAAATGACCCCTGAAAACACTCCTGCTACAGAGAAGACTGGAGCATTTCAGGCAGACACTTCCTGTTCAAAAGTCAGTTTACAAAATAAAAGTCTCTGACGCTCAACGTTTGGATGTTTCTTTTGCTTTTATAATCTGTATAGTATAATCACGTTAATGGCTTTATATTTAAACACTTAAAACACTACAATGACATTATATAGTCTTTGTGTTCTGCCAATTAAGATATACAGAGAGAGAGAGAGAGATGTATATGATGGCCATCAATGTTGGGCTAGTTACTCAAAGAATGTAATATATTACTCGTTACTAGCTACTCCTTTCAAAAGTAATATTGTTACTTTACTTATTACTTTCTGGCAACAGTAATTAGTTACACTACTAGTTACATTATTTCTTCACGCCCCACGGAAGTTGTAACTGTGTATCTTCCACATAAAATTCTTCTAGAATGTAACAACATATTTCTGCCTCATCATTTGACCAAAATCCACATTGGATCGCAATCAGAAGTTATTACAAACACTCAGTGGTGATTGATAGTGACATTTAAGTAGAAGTGTTGTATTAATCTCATTAATTGTCATGTGCAACTTGAAGCTAATTGTAATTTCTCCGTTACCCATATCCGATTATATTTCATTATGTATTTTATCAAATCATATAAGTTTGTAAGACACTGCTTAATTTTCCAAAAAGATTTTTAATTTTAGTAATATAATGTACCACATGCTGATCAGAGGGATGTGGGTGGGATGTAATGCCAGAGTAAAGTAAAGCCACAACTTACACAACAGTGTTCAGATCATCTTTTTTTCCTGACAAAATCAATATAATGCAATATTTCTATCTGCTGAATGTAAGCTTTTCCGTATTCCAAGCTTGCCTGCTGCACTGGGGACATCATGCATGTGCGAGTCGTGAAAATTATGAAAATAAATCTAGGAATTATTTGATTGTTGGATTGATTTGATTGTTGAGGCATCAAAAGTATGGATGGTAACTGTAATATTATTGCTGAAATCTTATTAGTAATTAGTTACACTACTAGTTACTGCAAAAAGTAATATTATTACAGTAACTAAATTACTAGTAACTAGTTACTGCCCAACACTGATGGCCATATACGGCCATATACATCCCGCCATCAGAGTCCCCATACTACAGACATGTTCTACACATTAGAGGAAGAGACAAGCCACTTCCAGGCCCAGGCAAACGTGCTCATCTGCGGGGACCTGAAAGCAAATGTCTAAATAACGCCTATGCTCACAGTAATGAAGGTGTCAATCTTGCTGTCAAAGATATAATTTACATATTTTAAAAATCAGCAAAACAATACAAATTTGGAAAATTCCAAAAATGGAAAAAATCAAATACCCAAAAATGACAAAAAATGGTTTGATCAGGACTGCCAAACTATGCGCAAAAAACTGAGAACATTGTCAAATCAGAAACACAAGGATCCAAATAATGCAGAGATCTGCCTTCTTTACATTGAAACACTAAAACAATAGCCTACAAACTTACACTCAGAACCAAAAAAGCCCAATACACCCAAAAAAAAAACTGACAATAATTGAGAAGTCAGTGAACAGACACCAATATTGGGATAATTGGAACAATCTGAAGAAAAAAAACTGATCATGAAGAATTGGCAATCCAAAATGGAGAAATATAGGAAAGTCATTTCCAAACATTGTTTAATAAAGTACAAACAGACACAAACTGTAAGCAAAATCAAACAATCAACCAACTGGAAAAACTAGAATTAGCAATCAAAGATAACCAAAACCCATTAGATTTCCCAATAACTGATAAAGAACTTAAAGAAAAAATCAAAAACCTCCAACTCAAAAAAGCATCTGGACCTGATGGGATATTAAACAAAATGATAAAACACACAAGCAGTAAATTCCAATAGGCCATTCTAAAACTATTCAATGTAGTTACTTCCCTGACATCTGGAATCAAGGCTTGATAACATCAATATTTAAAAATGGAGATAAATTTGATCCTAACAACTACAGAGGCATCTGTGTGAGCAGCAACCTGGGAAAGTTATTCTGTAGCATAATAAATGCTCGACTATTAGACTTCATCACCACACACAATGTACTGAGCAGAAGCCAAATCGGATTTTTACCAAATTACCGTACTGATCACATCTATACATTACATACTCTAATTGAAAAACATGTTAACCAAGATTAAGGTAAAATATATGCATGCTTTATTGACTTTAAAAAGCTTTTCACTCAATTTGGCACCAAGGACTATTTTACAAACTTATTGAAAGTGGCATAGGAGGTAAAACCTATGACCTTATCAAATCAATGTACACTGAAGTAAATGTGGCATAAAAATCAGCACCAAACGTACAAGGTATCTTTCCCAGGAGCGTGGAGTGAGACAGGGCTGCTGCTTAAGCCCAATGTTATTTAACATTTACATCAATTAACTGGCGAGCAGTCTGGAGCGATCTGCAGCCCCCGGCCTCACCAGATAAAAACGGGTTGTGCCTTTCTACAAAAAGACCGTCTGTGGTTAAGGTGTGATCCCTAAAGTTACTGGATCTTCTAAAAAAAACAGCTTCTGCTAAAACTATAACAAAGGTCTTCTGTAAAACGGACTTTTCCAAAGATGGCTTAGCTGCACTAGCTTAAACAACATAAGCTTTCACCAATATCAAATTAAAAAATCATTGGTTACATGATTATGCGTTTTCTTAAATTGTGTGTAAACACATGGTTCAGAATGAATGTGCATCTGTGTGTTTAAACACTCTGGACAGTAGGGACTTTTGCTTTACTTCACAGACACATGAAACTTTATTATGGAGCTGCACAGGATCAAAACAGCGTCAATTATTCAGTTGCAATACACACTGATAGTCTGTTAATGTTGAATTGAAATACGCACAGACTAAACTTAGTCATACAGATGAGCTTGTTAGTAATGATCAATCTTATCACTGGGATTTTAACAACGATTACTCATATAGTCAAAACAGACATGTTTGAGAGACAAACCAGCCCATCACAAAGTCTCTTTACAGTAATGAATCTTGGCAGACAGTGGAGGAACAGCCTGCTCTAGGTTTACTTTTTGATGTAAGAGGTGCTATTGGGGACAGGCCACATTAATATCTGTATTAAGAGATGAATTGCATATCCACAAAGAGCATCAGAATATGCAGAACCTCATTCCCTGCGTGAATGTTTATTGCTCTTGTGGATGTTTACTGATATGAACTCCTCCTTATACTCATGAAACTTCCCAATAACAACATGGAGATCAGACACTGTATTTGTAATTTGCTAGAATCACACAACATCAATTTAGTCTTTATTTGTTTACATTTTCTAACGCACAAGTTTGCTGTAAGTTCATAAAGCACAACTGCACAAGTCTTGCATGCACTTCTACTTGCTATCCACACTGTTTGTGTGCACAGATTAAATTTTAATACCAAATGAAAGTGGTAGTACTTCCCAAGAGTTTTAGTCTTATAATAGAAGTTCAGGTCTTATAATAAAAGTTAAACATCTTGATTAAGTGAAGTTTCCTTGGATTGGAAAGGCAGCAATTCTCTCCTTCACTCTTAAAAACAAAGGTGCTTAAAATGTTCTTCACAGCGATGCCATAGAAGAACCATTTCTGGTTCCACAAATAACCATTCAGTCAAAGGATCTTCAAAGAACCACCTCTTTCTTACCTTTTTATAATCTGAAGAACCTTCTTTCGCCACAAAGAACCTTTTGTGAAACAGAAAGGTTCTTCAGATGTTAAAGGTTCTTTATGGAACCATTTAGACAAAAAGGTTCTTCTATGGCATCGTGAAGCACCTTTATTCTTAAGAGTGTTGTGTTCTTGGTATAATCTCACATGCAAGATGTTACTGCTTTGTACGAGTCTCTGATGATCAGATAAACTGAAGTTGTCACAACCCATAAAACACAGTTCTAAATCTTAAATAACGAAGCACATACAGATTAATTTAATGAATTCAGTTCCAATTATCTATATATTCAGAACAGATCTGGCCAGTTTTCTGTGCGTGATGCAATAGAAATAGTAACGATGAGAGAGTAATTAAAATCTGAAACAATGACATGGCGAAAAATGAAAGGAATGTGCTTTCATAATCACACAGAACTGAAACAATACACAATTCCTAATTACTACTGAATATAGTCCAATCATTTACAGACAAAATAGTTTCTATAGGACATATATCTTCTCAGAAATGGGATAAGAGTTTTTATACAACTGAGAGGGAGGAAGAAAGGAAGTATCACTGTGGCAGGACTTTGAGAATAGCGTTCACCTCTTCAGCTACAGTCGTCAGTGCAAACTCAAACTGATCCTGAGAAAGACACAGACACAGTACATGTCAGTATGAAAGAGATTGTGTGTTTCAGTGTATTATTGTTTGTATGTGTGTGTACATACCTTGGTCTGAACCATGTTGGGTCTCTGGTCTCTCAGGTGTTCCAGCGTAGCAGCAATATCAATCTCTTTTGCACCTGTAAAGCAAAGAATTGTGTATCATATTTCAATCAGTATTTATACTGACTGTCCACAATGTGCAAAGTATTACTGAACACCCACTGATAATTAATAATCAGCTTTCTTTGTCTTTACCTTTGGCCATTTTATTCAACACCATGTCAATCAAAATGTACGTCCCAGTCCGTCCAGCTCCGTCACTGATGGACAAAAAGCAAGATTTAAAAAAGTAAAAAATAATTAAATAGATAAAAAAGACAAATTACAGATTATTTTTTCAGTGTCAGTAATCCAAAAAAAATGTTGCATGTTAAGTTCACCCAAAAATGAAAATTTGCTGAAAATGTACCCACCGTCAGGCCATCTAAGATACAGAAGAGTTTGTTTCTTCATGGGAACAGCTTTTGAGAAATTTAGCATTACATCACAAGCTCACCAATGGCTCCTCTGCAGTGAATGGGTGCCATCAGAATGAGAGTCCAAACAGCTGATAAAAACATCACAATAATCCACAAGTAATCCACACGACTCCAGTCCATGTTTGTAAGAAACAAATTCATCATGACAGCCTTTTTACT